AAAGGAGATGATGCGACTCGGGGTCTTTGTCTTTGAATGAATGCACTGCAGATTGCCCTGAACGGAACTGGGATGGCGGCCGGCAGCCCTTCCTTCGTCGACGTCTGCAGGCCAGGTCCACAGGCCCCAAGTCTACATGTACAGGCCAGGTCCACAGGCCCCCAGGGGGCCCGGAAGGGTACCTCGGAGAAAGGGTGGACAGGTACTCGTTGACCGTGGGCCGTTCACCCAGAATCCGCAGCCACGAGACTCTCTGCCTGGGTATCTCTGCCATGACATGTCCTCAGGCCAAAGTACCTCCCTACCTGCGCGTGTACTTGTCGGGTGTACATGGCGATCCCCGTCCAACCCCGCCTGTCCGTCGGTACCTCCACCACATGTGAAATGAAGGGTGTGATGCTGCGTTCTGGCCAAGGCACGACGAGCGAGGTGCCAGCGAACGAAAGGATAGGCCTTGGTTCCCCGTTATTTTCGGCCTCTGCTACAGCGTGCATGGTGCATGGTAAGGCACTGAACCTACCTCTCTCCCTAAAGGAAGAGGTGTGGCCATCTCGGTGCCGTCTCATGTGCCTGCTTGCCTACCAGTAGGTACCTTTCTACTGCAAGATAGCCATCATCTCACACACACAAAGGGCAAGACATGGTAGGTATCACAGGTAACGGTATCGAGGGAAGGGCGGGCATCTCATCTTTCCCATGGTCTCGATTGCGTTCTGCCAATTGTCTAGGTCGAGTAGCCTGTCAAGTGTTGTCGATGCAGCCCACAGCCAATTGCCATCCCCATGTTGCCACGCCATGTTTCAAGGTGTTCCAGAAAGGGCAGATTAAACATCCATGCCGGGGTCACATCCACGAAACCTCCAACGAGGGACGGACGACGAAGGAAATGAGCATCGGTACATCAGAGATGGCCTGCATGACACACGATATTGGCCGCTCCATGCTCAACGCTGCGTTGGGCCAGGCCCAGTACAACGAACAGCCAGCAAGTGACAACGCGGGCACCCGCACGCAGGCATGGCCCCTGCTGTCGGCTCTAACGCAGAAGCGGACGGTCGCCTAGGGGTCCAGGTCGCCCCCGTGCCCCCCCCCCCCCTATTCTGGGGTTTTTCCTGTGACGGACACCTTTCGCAGGGCCTCCTACATATAGCTAAGTCCTTGGCCTGGTTAAGCACCTTGGTACATAGGTACGGGAGGTAGGTAGGTAATTGAGGTCTGCAGCCGGGTTCGACAGCACGAAGGGTTGTCCATTTCTCATCCATGTTCCGCAGCTAAACTACCACGACCTGATGCAGCACGTCAGGTGAATCCTCGCTCCGGGGCCCACCGCATGCTGACGTCGATGACCGTGTTCGATGATGATGATGATCAGGGGCTGACCAGCGCAGCGCCATGGGGTAATCGACCGCCACCATCGTATCGATTCTTTTTTCTACTTGAACTTGGCAGGCGGGGGATCGAGGGTGCCTACCTGAGGTACCTACCTAAGGTACCTACGTACATGTACAGACCATGGTGACTAAGCACGACGCCGCGCGCCCAACAAGTAAGTCACTGGTGAACTCGGATGAACTATGAACTATGAACTCTGAACTCTGAAATCTGGAGTCGAACCCTTCGAGTCTGGCCTCGCTCATCCAACCCCTTTCATCGAGTAAATCGCTCTCGCCGTCACTGGCGCCCTCGCCGTCTGGCTTGGGCACCGCAGCATCAATGCTTCCTCATCAGCGATTGGATCGCAAAAGTGTATCATCCGCCGTACAACCCGCACACACTACCTGCTCGTCTCAACATGGGCAAACTCAGCCTCAGCCCATCTCGGATTAGCCGCCGTGTTTCCACCGATCTGGACCTCAAGGACGCCTGTCTCTGGGGCTGGCTGGGGCTGAGGACACGCCCGGTTCTGTCGCACGCGCTGCTGAGATGCCTCCCTACTGGCCTGGCCTGGCCTGGCCTGCGCGCGCTGGCGACCGTAGAGCGACCGTAAACCGATGAACCAGACAGCCTTACCGACCGCCGAACGTAGCTGCCTGCGGTTGTCTTCCACACCATGCACCCTGCCTCACCTTGCTGACCTCGTGCCAAGAAGGAACGCCGATGGGGTAGTTCCCTTGGTGCTGCTTGCTGACCCTCAAAATTGCTCCGACCTGCTGTGACCTGCTGTGACCTGCTGTGACCTGGAACTTCCACCAGCTGGCTCACATCATCACGCTCTTCCGAAATGACGGTACCGTGACCATGGCGCAATATGGCGAGCCACCAACCGCAAGCAGGCCAAGTCAGTGGCTGGCACATCGCGTTTCCAGCATCTCCGACATGAGCGATGTTGAACCGAGACATCACGACAGTGCCTCGCCGCTGGAAACGGGCCATTTGGTATATCCCGTTCCTTCCACGACGCAATCGAGATGGACTACGACTCCCTACACAGGCGCCCAACGACCTGCGACATCGCACAGCGCGCACAGCATCCTTCCAGCGGCTTCGCTGCGCTCGAAGCCGACGTCCGCAGAACGCGCTGACGAAGATGGATATGACCTCTCACTCCTGGCGGCTGCGGCGCCCCTGGGCCATACAGACGACGACAATGACTCAACGCCCCAATATGAACCAACGGAGGAGGCGTACGACCTGACGTCCATGATCGGGCCATTTAGCTCCCAAGGCGACGCTTTCCTCCGAAACCTACAGCGGCAAGAAGCAAACGGCCAGCTAACTCGTGGCCTCGGCGCGGGCTTCAAGCCCAGCACTACCCTCACCGGCGACGAACTCATGTCCCCCGTGGCGACGTCGCCGAGAGGCCTGTTGCGATCTTTCTCACGTCGCCAACCACAGCTCGATCGCGCCACGAGTATCAAGGTCCTGGGCCAGAACGAAGCCAACCGACGAGGCGAGGTCATCGAGGTCATCATGGAAGAGAATCCAGCCTCTGAAGTCGACATCAGCGGCTTGACGGGACCCAACGCCCTCACTGATCGTGTCGATGCCATGCGTCAAACGACGTTTCCCGCCAAACGGGGCGAGGCCCAGGTCTTCTACCCACAGCCCAACTGGAAGCCATTTTCCATGCGGTGGCCGTACCTCGTCGCGCTCATCGTCTTGTCTGTCGGACTCGCCGTCATGGAGGAGCTGCTCTACCGCCAATCCCATCGCAATCCTTTGCTGAGCTTCGTATCACCTTCTGACCTGCCGGCAGGCCAATACTTTGCCTTCAAGTTTGCGCCGACCCTGCTCTCCGTCTTGTACGGAGTGCTCTGGCAATTTGTCGGCATCGAGGTCAAGCGCCTTGAAGCCTTCTACCAACTGTCGAAGGAAGGCGGCGCCCTGGCCGCCGAATCCATCAACGTCGACTATATAACGAGCCTCAACTGGTGGCGACCCTTCCAAGCCATCAAGCTGAGGCACTGGGCTGTGGCCGTCAGCTCCGTCGCCACCTCCCTGGCCGTTTCTCTCGTGCCCACCTTTGGGGCCGCCTCCATCATCCTGTCTCCTGGCCGCGCAGAGCGAATGGCGCATCCCGAGGAGGAAAAGGAGATCTTGGTCGATGGGCTGTGGTCGAGGCTTCTCGTCTCCACGCTTTGTGTCTGTGCTTTTTGCGGCTGCGTGCTTCTTTACATTTTGCACACTCGAAGATCGGGCCTGTTGGCAGATGTTCAGGGCATTGCCGGCCTTGCGTCCATGGCTGTTGTCAGTCACATTCTCGTCGATTTTGCCGATCTCGACGTTGTCAGCCACGACGACATTCATGCCAAGCTCAAGCATCGTCGCTACGTTCTTCGCAACGCATCGCTTGCGCCAGATGACGAGACACCCGTCACCTCCCGAGATCGCACCAGATACCAGGACGCCCACCTCTCCAAGAACCCGCACCCCGGCATGTTGCGACCCTCGGGTTTCGGCAGCTTCGCCCTCGCCGTTTTGCTCTTTCTCGGCTTCATCCCCATCTTCCTCTTCACGCCCGCCAGCGCCATAACAGACAAGGCGCCATGGCTGGTCACGGCCCTGGCCGTGTGCATCAAGCTCGCCTGGGGCACGCTCGACACGGACGTCCGCATGATGGAGCCGTACTATATCCTCTCGCGACGGCACGCCCCGCCCTCCGTCCTCACGCTGGACTACACCTCCGTGCCCTTCGGTCTGCTCCCCGTCCGCGCCGCCCTCAACGGCCACTGGCTCGTCTTTTTCGTGGGTTTCGGCTCCATCATGGCCGAGATACTGACCGTGCTCGTCACGAGTCTCGCCACCGTCCAGGGCAGCGACTTTATCCGCCTCGTCATCCCCGGCAAGACAAACGACGACTCGAAGCACATCCAAGCCGGCCAGGAGACCAAGCTCTCCTTTTGGGTCTCGTTTGGCCTCGCAACGTTCATCCTCGTCTACATGCTCGTCGTGTCGGCGTTTGTCTTCGTGCGACGGCGCCACCCGTTCCTGCCGCGGCAGCCCAACACGCTGGCGAGCGTGCTGGCGTTCATACACCAGAGCAAGATGATTTGGGGGTTCGTGGGCACCGCCAAGCTGGACCACAAGGGCATGGTGCGACACCTCGCGGCGCGGGAGCAGCAGACATACGGCCTCGGCCGGTTCGTCGGCCGGGATGGGCAGACGCACTGCGGCGTCGACGAGGAGGAGCTGCTTGGTGGGTACAAGCACGGGTCGGCCTTTCAGGGTCCCAACCAGCCGTGGGACAGGCAATGGGATGCATACGAGTAGGCCGTCGAGCGTGTTGTTTATTTCGGGATTGGAGCACGTCTGGCATAGAGTTTCATCTGGCGTTGGGGTCGACTGTCAAAAGTAATCATGGTGTCTTTGGTCAGGCCGGTCCGACTAGAAATACAACCGCGTTGAGGAGGTGATGAATGTTCATTCTTCGTGTGTATCTCTCACAAAGGTCATTTCGCACGCCAATGCATTCACACAACTGGTCTTCTCGAGCGATGTAGCAATACTCATAGCCAGATGATTCGCCGGCTCCCAATCCCGTGGCCGCCCCCGCACGCACATCAAGGCAGGGCAATAGCCTCAATCTCGACATCGACATTCAACGGCAGCGTCCTGACGGCGACACAGCTCCGCGCCGGCTTGTGCGTGAACCACTGGGCATACTCCTCATTCATCTCCTACGAGGGCGTCAGTGCCGCACTTCATCACTAGACCAACTCGGAGGCTTCGGGGGGTTGATACTCACAGCAAAGTAGGCCATGTCGGCGAGGAAGACGTTGACCTTGACGACCTTGTCGATGGAGGAGCCGGCCTCGGTGAGGACGGCGCGCAGGTTCGTGATGACCTGTCGCGTCTTGTCGGTGATGGAGCCGGTGACGAGGGCGCCGTCGGGCGTGGCGGGGATCTGGCCGCTGAGGAAGATGGCGAAGGGCGTCTTGATGGCTTGGGACTGCGGGAGGTGAGTGGGCCTGTGAGGGGTGCTTTGGTGGTGACGGATGGGAGGAGTCACGTACGAGGGGGATCTGGTCGACTGAGGTGGGCAGAGCAGGTCAATCAGGTGAATGTCCGTGCATGAATATGGCGACGAAGACATACCGGGAGGGGCCTCCTTCGTGTGGACGACGCTGTAGCCAGACATGGTGTCAGAGAGTTGGTGAGTGGACGCTTGCGTTGGGTGAAATGAAGTTCAGAAGGGTGAGATGGCGGGGTTGGCTGTTGAATTGACATCGCGGCAATCGGCATGAGCCTTTATATGCATTGCCTTTCTAGTGCATCGCCTACATGGTGCATCGCCAGACGATGACCCCAACGAGGAGGCCTGACCCCATCTACGGCAGCGATCATGCATGGCTACGCCCTTGGCTTCACCAATTGTGGGGGATGGGGCCCAGACGACAGGAGAACGGCTTAGCAATCGAGCGGATTGCTGTCAGTCCAGCTCTGCGTCGACCGTCGTGTCGGTCCCGTTTGTCAGCAGATCGCGGGGTTGATGGCGCACATCTGGCGAGCACACGGGCCCGTGCCACGACGACCGGGAGCTCCGTTGTTCGGGGCGGGTATCACCGGCCTTTCCTTCCCTGCGTATCTTGCGCCCTACCATCGACCACTCACCTGGGGCGTACCTTCCAGCACTCGGAAACGACATCGTGCCTTCTTGGCAGCCGGTTAGCCAAAGGTCTACGCCGCTACTTCGGTGCCATTCTTGAGCCATTGGCAACTATTAAGCCATTGGCAACTATTGAGCCATTCGCAACGTCCGGCGGTATTCCCGCACGATAGCGTCTCACGCCGTGCATGACTCATCACGGTGGACGACTCACCTCGACCTCGATATAGAAGGCGAGCAGTGTCCTGCCCCCTTCCCAGACGTCAAAGACACACAGGATCCCCTTGCCATCTACCCACCCCACACACGCCCACCATGTCCCTCGATTTCGTCACCCTCGACGTCTTCACGACGACGCCCTACCAGGGTAACCCCCTCGGCGTCGTCCATCTGCCCCACGACAGGCCCATCACGCAGGCGCAGAAGCAGGCCATCGCCCGCGAGTTCAACCTCTCCGAGACGGTCTTCCTCCACGACGTCGACCCGGCCAACGACCCGGACCCCACGACCCGCCGCATCGACATCTTCATGACCAAGGGCGAGCTCCCCTTTGCCGGCCACCCGACCATCGGCGCCGCCGCCTACCTGCGGTCCCGCGGCGTCACGACCCTCGTCTCCAAGGCCGGCCCCATCCCCATCACGGCGGGGCCCGAGGCCGGCGTCGTCTATGCCGCCATCCCGCACGACGTGCACCTCAACTCGCGCCGGCTGCGGGACCACGACGAGGCGGCGCTGCGGCCCGGCAGCCTCCACGCGACGCCTGCCATTCGGAGCGCCGAGCTCGCGGCGCCGCTGTTCAGCATCGTGAACGGCATGACCTTTTCGCTCATCAGGCTGCCGGGGCTCGAGGCGCTGGCTCAGGTGAGCCCCGGCCGGTTTTCTGTGGCGGCGGGTGACATCATGGACGAGGGGTGGCACGAGACGTTCATTGGACGGTATTACCACGTCATCACTGGCACCAGCGTCGGTGCAGACGGGACACGCACGGTCAGGCTGCGGACGAGGATGGTCGAGGACGAGATTGAGGACCCGGCGACGGGGTCGGCGGCATGTGCGCTGACCAGCTACCTCGCGCTGCACGAGTATGAGGAGAGGGAGGTCAGGTTCGAGGTGACCCAGGGCGTCGAGATGGGAAGACGGAGCGATATCGGGGTCGTCGTCAAGGTGGCGGTCGGTCGGGACGGGCAAAGGACGGTGGAGGGCGTGCAGCTGGGCGGTAGCGCCGTCGAGATCATGAGGGGAGCGGTACGGGAGCCAACCACTTTTTGAGTGGTGGACAGTGGATTGAGCCTCGTGGGGCGGTTTCAACGTTTGTTGTGCGCAAAAGTCCCAGTGTACAGAAGAAAAACCTTCCAGAAGGTCAGCGGACAAAGGTTCACACTTGGCTGCGGCGGCGGTCATTGAAGAAACTCCGTTGACTGGCTAAATGCGACAACTGCGCCCGTTGAGTATCTAGTTTTGCTTCTGTCCCATGTTCCGTCCCATATTCCTGAAGTGACCAAGCCTAATTGGGCCTCAGCTCTCGACGATGCACGTAAGTTGAGATCAGGCCTGAGAATTCAAGAGTTGACACTGAGCCTGGTTTAAAAAGTCTGTCAGTCTCTGTTCCAAAACGCGTTTTAATAGAATAATCATCTCTACCAGACCGATATCGATAAAATATAAGCAATGGAGCCGGCGCCCCAATCCACGAATCTGTGGAGCATGACGGCTGGTGCAAGCAACACCACCATCGTGCTGCCACCCCAAGATGAGGCGTCAACTCCGAACCTGTCCACCATCACAATTGGAATCGTGGGCCTCTTCCTAACTATTGCCACCATTACCATCGCATGGCGCCAGTATCTGCAGCAGCGGCACCCTGCGCTCCCCCCGGCTCGCGCCACCATAGCGCTCAATGATATGGCTGGCCAGGTGCCGGCGACGCCCTCATCGCCTATCCAGAACGACATCCGTCGAGTGGATCACCCCTCTTCGGAGACTAGCCCTGCCGACCTTCAATCGGTGAGCCTTTCCCGCTATCACAGCATGGGAAAATCAATCCTGATATTCAGCAGAACGCCCGACGAGCACCAGAGTGATGACAACGAGTGAAACGCGGCAGACGGGGTCGGCGGGTGGAGCCGGCGGGTGGGACCGACTGGCTTCCGCCGATGAACCCGCCGGCCAACATAGCGCTATGGGAAATTGCACCCCACTTCGGGGCCGTTCAATCAAATGTACG